GCCCCTGCCGCCCGCCCCGTGGCCCTCGTGAGCGGGGCAGGGTGGGGGCCCGGCTGCGTCGCTTCGCCATGAGCGCGAGGCGCCGGTGGCGCAGGTAGCCGTGGGCCAGCATCCGATGCAGTCGCCCCGGGGACACCGAGCCTGGTCAGACCAAGTTGGCGCCCCCTGATACTTGAAGCCACCCTCCCACCCACTCTCCTTGCCTCTTTTTTGGCCTTTCTCACTGAATGCTATGCAAAAGAAAAGGAAGAAAAAAAGAAATGCAGACCCGGACTGCGGGGGAATGACCGTCTCCTGCCCTGGGTGACCGTGGAGGTGGGTTGGTGCTCGGCGAGATGAACTCGTTCTTGTCCTGCCCGGCGGACGAGCTGTTGTAGATGGGCCACTTGACGCTTTCGTAAGCCTCATTGTCCTTCCTGAATCTCATTACCCTGCACGGTTTTGCGTCAAGCCACCGGCCTCGCTGAGCATCAGGAGCACCTGCGCACCTGACTGAACTCTCCACCTCAAGTGACTTGTTTGGAGGATGATGTGAACACAGCCCCCTGCTCCTTGGTCGTCTCAGTTTCCTGCAAAACTCCCAGCCTGGAAGATCGGGGCTGTCTATCGCAAAACCGCTCTGGTCCTGGGAGCGGCAGCCCAGCATTACTTTATGGGGCAACAGCCTGGAAAAGTTCTTGGGGACCAAAGGAGGCCGAGTCTGCCTGCCCTGCACTTCATCAAGGGAGCAGGGAAGAAGGAGTCATCCAGGCATGGAGGCCCTCACTGCAATGTCTTCGTGGAGCATGGTAAGGGGCTGAGTTGACCTGCCCTCTACAGCGCACTATTGGCTTTCTGAAAGGGTTAAAAAAAGCGGAGGTCAAGGTCTTTTGCTTTCCTCCTTTTGCTGCTTATGCTGAATCTTAGGTGTGATTAGTGCCTAAGAATATTTTGTCATGTTCAATTGCTGTTTCCCAGTTGCATGACTGATGAGTGGGCTTGGGGAGGAAGCATTATTATAAAGCTTAAATGCAGGGAAAGCAGCTTCCTAGTAAATTAAAAAGATACGTCTGTCTTTTCCTCTAAGGTCAGAGAATATTTGCATCCTTTCACTTGTGTATTTAAAGGATGTGGACTAGTTTGGTGATGCATGTCCTGGTGAACCTGTGTGCTTAGAAGGGAGGCTGTCACTTCTATGCGTAAGTTTGTGATGCCTGGAAGTGTGTGTATGTGTGTATTTCCCTTGTGAATGGACATCACTCTCACTTTCACTTCCTCTGGGTCACCAGCTAGGCCACAGTCTCCTGGTGTGATGATGCCTGTAGGTATAGGGCTCTGTACACATGGACCCGCTTTCAGGACAGCTACTTTTGAGGGACTTTGTACGACTGGGCCATGCACCCGGTCACGGGACAGCAAATGGTCAGTGCAGCATGGGGGAGAGGGTGGTAATATCCATAACTCATCATTTGAACTCAGATTTTTTGGCTGACTAAATTTTAAGGTAATAGGGCCCCTTTTAAAAGACAGGTGCAGAAAGAAACTTTTTGACTGTTCCTCACTTGTCTAGCACTTCATTTGAATTCTTCACTTCTTTTAAGACCTCTCATTACTTATGGTGTTTTGACAAGAAATAGATCACAACAAAGTTTGTCTGGGTAAAAATGCTGACTAAAATAACATCATCCTTGTCCAGTAGAAAGCTTTGCTAGATTTGTCTTCTCAGAAAAGACCAAACCAGGTGAAGATGTGAAAATGAAGTCTGTGGAGTGAGGTTTGTTTGGTAAATGGCTTTATTATGGTTTTTTTTTGTTTGTTTTTGTTTTTTATCTTTTAATTTTTCAACTGGACCAAGGAATTCAATAGGATTCTTAGCAGGGGATGCTGCAGATATACTGACATGTTAAAACCAATCAGAGTAGTCCCGACTAACTTATTTTTCCCTGCCTGATCACTGCACAGCGATTGTTTGTTAACTGAAGCTGAACCGTGGAAAGCTAGGTGATAGCGGAGCTGACCCAGCCCTCTTATCAGTGGCATGTTCTTGCTATGAGAACACTCCAAGCCAAGGCTTCAGTACCTTGGAAAGGAAAAAAGCAAAATAAGTGCACCCTCCCCATCTCTGTTGCTTCTGTGCTTTTTGAGACAGCTTCAAGGTCAGATGGGCCAGAGTGAGCAACAAAGCACTTAACTACAAGCAACGCAATATTCTGCCCAGCTTCAGGGTTTTGATCAGCCAGACAAGGCAGCAAGCCTGCTTTTTGATCATCGAACAGGAGTAGACAGATGATAACTTTTTGCCAGGATGACCTGAGGTCAGGAGAGCCTAGCACATTTGCAAGGAAAAGGAGTGTGTATGATACCCATACTCCATATGTCCACCAGAGACCTTGGTCTCCTAATTAAAAAAAGAATACAACTTGAAAGAGGCCATCATGACTAGTACATCTGTTAAGGGATTGCAAAAGTACGGTCTCACTTACCCACATGAGGAAAGGCTTCTCTTCTACTTCTGCGTATCTGAAGTGACTCTCAGCAATGCAGACAATAGTTAAATCTGCTCTGCTGTTTCTGTTCATCTCTGCTATGGGTTAAGGCTGTTTAAAAAGCTCCTGGCTGAAACCTGACCTACAAAACACTGTTCTGTGAATGAATTGCATGCTATTCTTGGGAAACAAACCAGCAAGGAGAAATTGGTGGTAGTCTTCAGTGCTTTTTATCATCTTTCTCAAATTGCATATCTTGCCATTTAAAAGAAAACATGCTATCATCCAGCTTTACTGCCTTCTTGGTTTCTGAACAGAGAATAATTAATATTTAAAATATTATTCATGAGAAGCAGCTGGAGGTCATCTTTTATGGAAACAAATCTGATTCTAATTCTTCAAAATCACAGTTGTTTTAAGTAATTGCTCTTTAACATTTTCATTATACAGCACACTCTATTTAAGAGCGTAGCCTTGGTACTGGCACATACCCAACTCAATGGGAACAGTGAATTTACTACAGGGACAGCCTGCCCATAGCTATAAGCACCTCACTAAAGTTGGTTACCTTGTTTTTTAGATGACCTGATGTCTCTAATAGTAGCCTTGGCATTGACTGTGTCAATTTAAGACTACTTTAGTCCTCTCACCAATTGTGCAGTTAAACTGAACAGGTATGTCACAAAGCAGTGGGGCTAAAGAGTTCCTCTGCACTTAGGCAAGTTATGCATTTAACCCAGGGGTGAGGTACAGCTCACAGAGTCTGGTCTTCCGGGCTCTCCATTGGTTTGGAAATTTGGTGGCGAGGGAGCGGTGGCTGCATTAATTGCCCTGGTTCCTGGAGCTGCTGCAATTGATGCTGCTACGGCTTGTCCTACTGACAGATTTCTGGACTTTCAGGGAGCTCTGAGGCTGATGACACAACTCTACGTGCCAGATCAGGGCTTCATCCTGGCTTTGTGCCACTCATCTGCCTTGCAGATGCACTCCGCCCATCAGATCTGGCCCTGTGCCACCATCCAGCTAACGGCCGGATGAGTTGGGCACCATTGATTTAACCAACAGGCAGGTTACTGAACTTGCTTGCGTTGTAAGCAGCAGGCAACAAGTTGGTGGCTGTATTGTTTTTTGCGTCTGTACTCATGTAAATTCCAGTGCTTGTTTGGGGTGGGTGTCATAAAAGACAGTTAAGGGTAAAAATATAGACAGAGGTTTCAAGTTAGCGTACATGGACCATGAAAGAACAGCATCATGTCAGACAAGCATTTATGTACATCATGCTTTTCAGCCTTGCAGTGGGTAATGCCTTGTTTTTATAACCCGTTCCACTGAAATCAATGGAACCACTTTCAGAGCTAAGTTCTGCCCATGATAAAGCTGGCAGATTTGGGTCTGTGTTAATGAGGAATCGGAGACATTCCTGTGTTCTGGGCCTGTGGATGAACTAAGCAATGTTGGATGATGATGTACAGCAAAGCGACTTAGAAGGTAGTGGCTCCTAGCTCTGGCTGATTATGTAGCATCCAGGCTGTTCTAGATGTTTTTGAATTCTAAGAAGGTGAGTAGTGGTCTTAAATCTGTGTGGACTAGACAGCTGAGGCTTCCCCTGGGGTAGTCCCCCACAGTTTGACTCTTGCCCTCGCAGCTTCCTACCACAGGAGGCATTCTGTAATCCTTCCCCTGGCCTCTTATGTAGGGGTGTGTTTTGGGGTGGGGGAGCAAGGTGCAGTTCAGAGTTAGTGCAGGGTACAGTATCCCTAGGGTAGCAGTCTCCAAACAGCAGGGTGTGACCCTAAGAGGAATTGCAGTTTATAAGGTCATGAGCTTGACAGAAATGGAATTGCTTATGCTAGTATTTGCAGTCACGTACCCCAGAGAAGTGGGCTTTGCAGGCAGCAATGCAGTTTGAAACTCAAAGCTGTTTGGAACTGCTGCCATCCAGGTGTTGGAATTTGCACCAAAGTAGCTCAGCTCCTGGTTCAAGCTCAGATTTCTGAAGATCTGGAAATAGAGGTAAGGTCCACCCTGATGCAGCTGTAGCCTTCTGCCTCCCCTCACATTGCCGATGATTCCCAGTGATTAGTGCCAAGTGCCTGGGCTGCATTTACTGTTTGGGTGTTGATGGATTGAATGTTGAAGGGATTCGTTGGCGCAGCTGTGATTGGCATGAGGTGAGTTAGAAGGGAGGGTAGTATGACTTGCACCTGATCCCTGTGTGTGTGACTGAAGGATAGAGGTTCTGGTGCTTCTGGTGCACAGGTTGAATTCATAGCACAGTGTAGAGGTGGTCTTTCCATGGGGTTTGTCAGCAGAGCCATGGGAGATGCATGTGGTGTGTGAGTTTAAGGAGGTGAGTGAAAGTCTGGTGCTAAAGGCATGCGTGAGAGTGAAGCAGATATGTACCTGCCATGGAGCAGGGCAGGATGCTTCCTTCCATTTGGCCTTGTTCAGAGGCAGCGATGGTGTGTGTCACAGGTGTCCTGGGGCATGGCTCAAACATGCTGGAGTCACAGCCGTGTGAGCACTAATTACATCTTTATTTCCTCTTTTTCCAGAAGTTTATGGTACTGCATAGCAAACAACTTGATTTCATGATGTGTATTTATTTTGTTCGTTGTTTCAGTTGTGCCACTATCAACGTTGGCCTTAAAGGCAGAGCCAGGACAGAATCCAGCTTTGGAGACTGGTTGGTCTGGAGCAGGTAGTAATGATAAAAGCCTCTAGTTGCACCTTCCAGCTTTAGGATCTTTTTGAGAAGGGAAGTTTACCGAGGTGCCTGCTACCTGTATATGGGAACATTCACCCAAGGCCCTTTTCATGTGAGAAACAGTCTCATAAAGGCAAACTAACAAATGGGAAAGCCCCAGGTAGTTGCAACCTTGCATCTCTCTCGGCACTGTTCCCGAGTGGACCAGCCCCCTGACTGCTTGTCAGCTTCAGAAATTGACACTTAAAAGGAACTGCTTTGCTTCAGCTGATTCCATTTCAGACCTTTCACCTGGGATTGTACCTTTAATGTCCGTTCATCGCAAGTCCATTATTTGAAGTCTGCCTGTACCACTTCCATCCTGTGTTCTGAGAGGATAAACTGATCTTGCCCTGTTAGGCTGGAGAATTGGCAGCTTCTGAACTGTAATCTCCATACTAGTTTAGGTGGTGCTGGGGCACCCGGACCAGCATTGAGACCATTGGCTCTGCAGCCAAATCTCATGTGCTGTTAATACTAACACGGGGTTGTCTTTGTGTATGCCACATCCCAAAGCTGGCTTTGTCTGCTGACTCTGATTACATCTATCCTACACTTATCCCATCTATCCTACATT